CACATACTAAAAATGTTATAAATATAAGACTTTGGTATCAAGAGAAAGAACTTGAAACTCATCTCGAGGAGTATCTAGTTCTCATTCTTGAGCTCAGCGTTCTAATGGAAATAGTAAGTAAACTTGCAGTGCTACTCCTTAGCTTATTGCCTTTATTTAAGAAGTGCTCAATCCTAGGAATTAGAGTCAGCATTTCTCATTGCCAACCTAACTGCTTATCTAAAAGTGTTTGAGGTCGGCAAAAAATTGCCAACCTCATTTCTATGTTTTATGGTCAGACCTTTGTATCAAATAATTTTTGCCGACCTGATGTCGACCTCAAAAAGACTGAGTTCGGCAAACTATTGCTGATCTCATTTTTCCTAATTCCGAGGGTTGAGTGGTTAAACGTGAACTGAATTATATTTTAAGGATAGCAAGGTGTAGTATTTGATGGAAACAATGCAAGCATGTACCTAAAGTTGGTGGATATACTTGAGAGAGATATTATTAATAATGAAAAAACTTATTTCTAGTTTTAACCTGTCTTGAAAAGTTTAAATGCCCTTTAAAAAGCAGAAGTCTTATGTTTATACAAGAAGATAAAATTGTAACTGATGCTTGGGAGTTTGAAGAGTCCTATGTAAATTTAATTATGTGCATGACAAATTTGAGAATGTTGAGCTAAGTGTTACATGGAAAGTTTACATAGCAGTATGCCATATACTTCCTTTTCTTCATTTTACTGACCACTGTCTAGTTGTTTAGTGTGAGCAAACAAGAGATGTTATTCATTGTGAGTTCAAAAAAGCATGGAATAGATATAAGCGTAGAATTAAACATAAATTATGCAAAACAGTTAAAATCCAGTGTTGCAAAATTTGTATCAAAAATATTAAACAGATTAAATAATATTATCATATATATATATATATATATATATATATATATACATATATATATATATATATATATATATATATATATATATATATATATATATACATACATATATATATATATATATATATATATATATATATATATATATATATATATATATATATATATATATATATATATATATATATATATATATATATATATATATATATATATATATATATATATATATATATATATATATATATATAGAAGTGGTTTTTTTGTATTGTGAAGGATTCTGCACTCTGTAGCCTGGCGAGAAGAAAACTCTTAGCTCAATGTCACACTTCAAAAATGTTATAAATCCAATACTTTTGTACAAACAGGAAGGTCCTGCAAATCATCTTGAACACTTTGTTCCTGTTCTTGCTTTTATGTATGATATGTATATATAATATATATATATATATATATATATATATATATATATATATATATATATATATATATATATATATATACGTATATATATATATATATATATATATATATATATATATATATATATATATATATATATATATATATATATATATATATATATATATATATATATATATATAATATATATATATATATATATATATATATATATATATATATATATTTATATATACATATCATACATAAAAGCAAGAACAGGAACAAAGTGTTCAAGATGAGTTGCAGGACCTTCCTGTTTGTACTAAAGTATTGGATTTATAACATTTTTGAAGTGTGACATTGAGCTAAGAGTTTTCTTCTCGCCAGGCTACAGAGTGCAGAATCCTTCACAATACAAAAAAACCACTTCTCAGCATAACTACTTATTCTGGACACTAAACTTGTGCATTTAAGATCAAATGTAACATAATACTTTACATTTTGTAATTTCTGTGGCTCAATAAGCTTCCAAAAAGTACTGTTAGGTTTAGTTTTATTCATCCTATGAACTCACATTTAAATTTACAGTTAAGTATGACATTAAAAAACTTAGGTATATTGTATATGTATATTCGTATAATGTATAACTTATACAATACATATACATATACATACATATACAATATACAGTGGTTAGTGGTTACCTCTAAGCTCCACTGATTCCAGACAATGATTTTAATTGTTTTAATTGCAGGAGTATTCTTTTGAGTTTTAAATGACCTTATCAATTTGTGTGAGACAAACAGCACACATTTTATAAAAATAGCGCACATTTTATATAAACAGCCTGCAATCATTTACACAATTTATCAGCTTGGGCTTTTGTTGAAAATTTATAAACATTTTTGTGATATAAAAAATTGATTTTCAAACAATTTTTTTACTTTATTGAACCCCCAGAAATTCTAAATACCATAAATGGTGTTTACTAATGTATATCTAACTATTGGAAAAAAAATATCAGACATATAAACAACTTACCCTGGCAGCCACTTTGGTCCACTGAGTGATATTTGTACAAAAACATTAATTCAGAATAGCTGGTGAAGAATTCAGCATCTGAAGAAAAACAATCTTCAAAAAATAGACTATGCCTGCATACATTTTGAGGCTAAGGAAACCTTGCTTGAAAAGTATGTTTTATTACTGTAATCATAATATAAAATTTATATACTTAAATATATTCTACAATAATAATTATACAATTTGAATTAACCAAATAATTAATTGTATTAACTTTTAAGCTGCTTATTATAAAATATTAAAATTTTTTAATTTTATTTTGAATATCTGAAGACATCAATTTATCAGAAAGGAAGACAAGTTACAATTTAGCTAAAAAGCATTTTGATAAAATTGGATGTAAACAGCACTTTCCTTGAACTAAAGAACTATAAGATATTTTGAAAAAGTTTTGTGATCTTGAAAATATTAGTATAATCAAATTTTTATTAACAAGATCTCAAGGTAAGTGTGCATTAGATATTGGTTGTAATTTTTATTCTGGAAAACACAAGAATAAAGCTTTCAATTCGGTTCCAATAAAAACAGCTAATTTATACAGACTATGCTCAGAATTCATATACAAACCAAAAAAATGTCTTTCATCTGCTGGTTTCAATATATTGCCTAGCTGGAAACATCTCAGAAAAATATAATTTGAAGTAACACTAATTATTTTGAATTATCTTGAACCTTGTTCTAGTGTTTATTTCAATCTATTTCTGGCTGTTCAACTGACAATGCAAATGATATTAGAGAACATTTTTTTAGATGTAAACAGTAATACATACTTTAGAAATATACTAATGAAAATAAAGCTTGGATTTGATGGTAGTGGAAGCAATGAAATATTTAATCAAAAAGATAATATTAACAGTAGTAATATCATACTAAAAATGTTCTGTCCACCTTCACTTGAAACGTAAACAGGTTTGTTAATATGGTTGCTAAAGTCACCAAATGCCCCACTAAATCACAGAGGGCTGAGTCTTCAAATGGGAAAAGAATCAAAAATTATTATTTTTCAATTATTTTTTTTTTTGAGTCAATTAACCAGAGCTCTTAGCTTAGAAATGTTAGAGTAAACAGAATATAGTTTCAATTATGCTATAAAAAATTATAATTTATTTTTGATTTTATTTTTTTTCTTAAAAAATAATAATTTCTTAAAAGCAGAAGGCATTCCTACCAATATATACTTTATAAAACAAATTTGTTAACTTCAAGTTTATATGCAGTGGTGGTGAAGTGGTAGAAATCCAAAGAAAAAATTTATTAAAAAAATAAATAAAACAATTTTTTTTTTCTTTTTTAAAAAACCTTTAAATTATCTTTTTTTATTTTGTTCACATAAAAATGAAATAAAAAAAAGATTTTAAAAATATTTCATCTAACTAAAAATATTAAAACAAATGTGATTTAATATATGAACAAAATCAGTTTTAGGTAACCAACCGTTGACATTATGTAGAAGATTTGTTTTAAAAAAATCTATTAAACACAGCAATGCATAATAAAAAAAACTATAAGAAACAGTTTTGTTTATAAGGTATTGCTACATTTTTTAAATAAACCGAAATTAAATTTTTAAAGAAGTACTAGTGTTATTATAAAAATAAACAAAACTTTAAAACATCCACCTAAGCATAATTATAAACCTTAGCATAGTTTCAAAACATCAACCTGAGCATAGTATATATTTGTCTGAAACAAATAAAAAGAATTATTGATTTCAAATTGATGGATCTATACATTTTTAAAATAACACTATCACATTTGAGAAAATAATTTTAAAATTTAGAAAACATCAAGAACTGCAGTTTCTCTAATAATTATTTTTATTTGTATAACAATGCTGGTATTGTAAATACCAGCACCATTGTACAAATAAAAATCATTATACTATGCTACTATTGACAACAGCAGTTGAATGGGTTCTTTTACATTTAAAAATAAAAAATGGTCCTACCGTTTTTTGTTTTATTTTCAATAAATGTTTTTAATCGATATATTTGTTAAAAACATTTCAATTTTTAACTGATATGTTCATTGAAAGCAAATAATGATTTTTGGATTCATTTAAAACAGGTAGAGAGTTTCGAATTATTTCACTTTTTATTTAAACTCAATGGTGAATGAAGAAACTGCTTTATATAATGAATTTAGTAGCTTTAAAAATATTGGCTCTACTGTTGAAATAACCTTATGTTTTAAAACAAATATTCACATAATATTATTGTCAAGTTCAAGGATAATGAAAACACCAACTTTCATTAACTCTCATTGCAGCAAAATTATGCTTATTTAACACTTTTGTGTATAACTGATATCCTTGGGATTTTAAAACCTTTAGTGGCTAACTTTAGTGGCAATTATACTAAATTAAGTTAAAAAAAATACAGAGAATCAGTACCCCTAAAGCAAATCTATCTAAAAACTGAGTTAGATGTTAAAACTCAGACTTTTTCAAATGATTAACTGTAATAAAAATCATTGAAACTTGAAAAGATTATGTGAAAAAATTTTTTTAAGAGTTGACATTGATCTAATCAACTAATATTTTGGTTTAATGGTCCAACGAACAATAAAAACATCATCTGCATCTAAATTTCTTAAATTTCTTCAAAAAACTAAAGTAAATAAAAACTCACTATATGTAACAGCATATTAGCATCCAAATACAATGGACCTAAAGTATAATCTATTATGCTTTCGCAGTTAAGAAAATCAGGTAGTGTAATTACGTCTTCTCTAAACACAGAAAAATATTGAAATAATGACCAATTTATATATTTTATAATATTTAATTATTATTACTATTATTAAAAATTTAAGCAATTTCATGAACTAAGATTTCTCTAAACTTTTTTAAATTATAGTCTAAAAATAACCTTAAAGTAGCAACAGGCAAGTCACATGATTTATAATTAACTTCTTTCAATATGGTACTCAATTTTAGCATCATTTGTTCAGCAGTATCTGGAATTCATAAAAATTATAAACTTATAAAAATATGTATACCAAATCACACAGAACCTTTAATAAATAACATATATTAAACTTACATAATAGAATTTTTGTTTTGGTTCGATAGATTCGAACTGTACCTAGCATGAGTTGAGCTGAAAGTCGTAAAGCAAATGGAAACTTTGGATTTATTATTGAATGACTGAAATTTAGAAATAAAAAAATACAATATCAATATACATATTTTAAAATATCATTTGAAAATAAAAAAAATGCATAAATTTATACAAAAAAAAAAAGAAAAACAACCATATACGAGCAATATTCACGTTTTCGCAATCTTTAGCTGATATCATTTTCTTGTATTTTTCAGGATCATAGTTTGCAGCTAACCTTTAAAAATAAAAATAAAAACAGACCAAATATAATTACTTTTCCTTAAAATTTCTTCAAGCAAAGTAATTCAACTACAGCAGATAACTCTATTAAAATTCATTTTTATTTAATTCAAGTACTTATTTTTATGAGTAAAGCAATAATAATTTAATGTCATAATTCGATAACAAATCTTTTATTGCAAAAGTGCCTTTGATAATCCAGATATTTTAAATAAATTTTTTTTTTTTTGAACTATAAATTTCTAAACAATTTCTAAAATTTATGATTAAATATGACTAGAATTTCAGTATGATAAATACGTTAAGTTGCAGTATATTAAAATTTTTTCAATGTTCTGAAACCATTAATATCAGCTACTAGTACTATTTTAGTATATTTGATATGTTAGTAAAATATGAATTAAAAAAATGATTTTAAGGTCAATAAATTATCAAAGTTTTATACAGTGTCATGTGTATGACAAAATTATAATACATGTAACGCTAAAGTTTATCATTTATTTTTATGAAGTTAGTGAAATTATGACAAATAAAAATGTAATTTTTAAATATAAAAATTTTGCCTGCAACATAAAGAAAATTGCAGTTGCAATATATCTTCCATATCTGTAGCAAACTATCTTTTATAGCCATGTATGTATGCACGTATGTATGTATCGCCCAATTTAAAGCCATTTTAGGTCAGCATTAGGTTGCAAGCTTTTCCGGAAAGTGTGTACGGTTGCACGCCAAATTTTTAACAAGTTTTTCATGTAAAAAAATGAGATTATGCTGTAAAATTTTGTGGGCTAGTGTTTGTTAAATTGTTTTTGTATTCTTAATTTGTATTTGTATTGTTAATTTGTTGACCTTTCTTAAAAAAATTTTTAGGAGCCTATTTCAAACTTTTTATTTCAGTTTTTAAATATACTTTTTTAAACAGCGCAGTCGTTTATAACCTCTAATAATTCCTATTAACATTGGAAACTGGGCAATATAAAAGATACAATTTTAGACATGCATCAAATGTCGTAAATACATTTATTAAAGGAACTATGTTATTCTTTTATTTAACTTATTCTGTCATTAACAAAATTTATTAAAAAAATAATATTTTTTACAAATAAATAACAATTTACTTACTTATTTTCCTGTTATATAAGTATTGAGAAAAAACGTCAAATATAGCTAAAACTTTTTTAAAAGCGAAAAGACGTAAAAACAAATAAATGTAATGAACGTTAGAAAAAAAATTAACCTATTTGAATTAAGAAAAAGAAATTTTGAGTTCAGCAAAAAAATTGTCGACCTCAGACAAGTCAGGTTGACAGTTAGGTCAACCTGACTTGTCTGAGGCTAACTATAACTCTAAGAGCTGATATATGTATGGGCTGATATTGTATCTATGTATTATTTTATAATAATACAACATATATTACAGTAATAAATACATACAATAATTATAAACACTGATTATGTCACAAATACCATACAAAAAAACAATATAAAGTAAAGGTTCGATGCCGGCACTAGCCCTATAAGTAGCATTGGTAAGGAAGGAAGTATGAACTTTTTAATTAAATGTGTTAATAGCTAATTTGTAAATGCTATTATAATTTAATAGTGTTTACAAATCCTTAGTGTAAATATGTCATTATTTTTCTTTATATCTATTTTTGTACATAATTATCCCAAGGGAGTTTTTGTTGACTACGAAAAATGTATAAAAATTGTAAATAATACGTAAAATGACAGAATTCTTAAAGGTAAAGATAGTTGTTGTTTTTTACAAGCTATTTTGGCATTATGATATCCATGGCAAAAATGATTTGAAAAATGTGGATATCAAAAAAGCTTTGTTGGATGCATTTGCGGCTGATCTTTTCAAAGCCTACGAGCTGTTCAGGGATCGAAGATGGAATGAAGACAAATCCGTTGATGTATATATAGCCAGTTTGCCTCAACTTATGGTCAAAATTGAAAACGCTGGCAAAAGTTGAAAACGAAGAATTGTTACAAGCTTTTATAACTGGATTGCCTGATGAAATTTCAAAGCAGCTACAATCGCAAGTCAAAATATTCGGGATCAACTTGAAGGATGTATTGAACCACGCAAGAGTACTTTTGTCAAAAGCAACGAAAGAAGAATGTCTTTCAACAACAATCTCTGGAAGTTATAAAAACATTAACAGAAAATCTGGTTCGCAATTCAACTGTTAAAATTGCGGCAAGCCTGGGCATGTTGCTCGAAGCTGTTTTGCAAAGAAAGAAACTTTTATTGAGCAAATACAATGTTTTTGATGTAGAAAAACTGGACACGTTTCCCTGTTGCAAGATTTTGCTTCTTGCAACAGGGAAACGCAACTGGGAAACCTCCAGCGCCAGCTGTTTCCCTCAACAACTAACGGCGCTTCCGATATGCAGTGTGCATGTGAACACATTTGCAGGAAAAGCACTGGTTGATAGTGGATAAACTCGAAACAAAATTTCAAACAAAATGGCTCAGAAAGTAGGTGTTTGTGTCAAAAGAAACCAATTCATGTTACTGGCTGTAAATGGAGAACTTGTGAAAACAGTGGGAGAAGCTACAGTGACATTGATGGTTGCAGGAAAACAACTACAAGCATCCGTAATGGTTTTTAAAAATGTTGATAAAGGTATTGATGCTGTTATTGGTATGGATATAATTAATTGTTGTGAAATGCACCTATACGATGTGCACCTATACAATGTAAAAATTGAATTTGATTTTGTTTCAATTCACACGAAAAAACAATTTGTTGACATGGAGTACAAGGACTTTGACGCTAATTTTGATGGCTTAAAATGGACTGCTAAATATAAATGGAAACAAGATGAACCGCAACTAAAGAATTTTGTCACGCAGTACAAAGTAAAACCCAAGTTGATACATCAATTTAACGAAGAGATGGACTTGTGGGTGGAAAATGGTTGGTTGAAACCATGTAAAATAAATGAAAATAATAAACAAGGGATTATCCCCTTAATGGCAGTTGAACAAGAAAATAAAGGAAAGACACGACCTGTTTTGGATTTTCGCGAGTTGAACCAATATGTTAATTTGCATAACTCCTCAAGTGATGCCTGCAATAAAACATTTAGAAGATGGAGAAGAATTGGTGACAAAATTGCACTGCTTGATTTCAGATGCGCATACATGCAAATACACATTGATCCGGTTTTGTGGAAGCATCAGAGAGTAGTCTACAAAGAGATACAATACAACCTTACACTACTCGGATTTGGGTTAAATTCTGCACCAAAGATTATGTCATCAATCTTGGGCAAAGTGCTAAGTCTTGATGCAGGTATTGGTGAAGCAACTGACCATTATATTGACAATATAATTTCAATAAGCGGACACTTGATTAGACACTATCCAATTGGAAACTGGCTCAGAATTGCCTGCAGTTTCACAAAACGTTATAATCAAGGAGATGCTTGGGATGATCTAATAGGAGATCAAGCACAGTCATGGTTGGTCAAAATATTGCGTCGTTTGGAAGCTAGTTATCCTGTAAAATGGACATGGAATGCTGATGGTATTCAAAATGGAGTAATATATAAAACAAAGCAGATGTATTGACAAGAGTTTCAAAAAAGTGGTTAAATGAAATTTCACGGAAAAATGTCAATGAATTATGTGAGGTAAATATTGCTAATGAAATTCATAAATGTCACTCGAAGCATCATTTTGGCCTTAATCGAACAATGTTTACAGTACAACAAAGAATCCTTTAAGTGTCGAGAAAAGACGTTGAAGACTGTGCACGCAAATGTTATCAATATAGTTCAATTGATCCAGCACCATTAAAATGGGATAATGGAGTGCTAGATGTACCAGATACATGGTATCGTATTGCATTTGACGTAACTCACTATGAAGGGTCACCTTACCTAACATTGATTGACTGTAGACCAAGTCGATTTGCAGTATGGAAAAAGATGTTACACAAAGATACTAAAAGTATATTAATTCAGTTTGATTTCCGTATTTAGGGAGATTGGCCCGCCATACGAACTATTGATGGACAATGGAGCTGTGTTTAGATCAAATGAGTTTTCAAACATGTGCAAAATGGTGTGTACAAAAGATGTATAGATGTGCATATAGACCATCAGGAAATGGAATTGTGGAGCGTAACCATAGCACAGTAAAACACACTTCTGCCAGGGCACGGATATGTCCATTACAAGCAGTATTTTGGTATAATGCAACACCAATGATTGGAAGGCAAGAAGACTCTACACCTGCTTCTCTAAAAAATAAGGACATCTGGCGTCTACCTATTCATGAAGAGAACAATACAGAAGGTCATGAAAAGGTCTCGACAACCTATAGAATTGGAGAATAAGTTTACATTCGCCCTGTTGGTGCAAAGTGCACAACGATTTAGAAACCTGTGACCAATATACTCTCGAAAACAAATATTGAAATTGATGGTATACCACGACATGAGAGAGATGTGAGAATGGTTACTGAATTATATGTTGAGAAAGTTTTAAGAAAAAATAGTTTTGAAGAAAATGAAAGCGACGAAAGTGAATTTGACGATTTACATATTACAAGAGATGAGGAATTTGCTGATGAAGAGTCAGTCAACGACGAATCAGTTGCTGATGAAGAAAATGACGGTATTGAAGTCATGGATAATTTATTACCATTGCTCAGACGTTCAACTAGAGGACGGAGAAGGCTGACATATTTAAATGACTACTTGCCTTAAGAACTTAGTTTTTGGGGAGAAAATAGTGTAAATTAGTGTAAATATGTCGTTATTTTTGTGTAAATATATCTTTTTTTGTAAATAATTATCCCAAGGGAGTTTTTTTTGATTACGAAAAATGTATAAAAATTGTAAATAGTATGTAAAATGACAGAATTCTTAAAGGTAAAGATAGTTGTTGTTTTTTACAAAATGCTCTTCCCCGGTGCTCTGTGATAAGACCGTAAGGACTTCTGGGAGCACCTGGATAACTGCAAAAAATAATAATAATAACATAAAAAAAAGTACCATATTAAACTCAGTTTTTCTTTTTTGCAGAGTGTAATTCCTTGAGGATAAAACATGTCACTTTATGTTTTTGTTAAATAGAAGTTGGGCTAAAAGAAATGAACAAAATACTTCAACTTATAATTATCACACAGAAAAATAAAATCAAAATATTGCTACCAGTTTTTACTTAATTGTTTTGTTATTTTTATTTTTTTAACAAATAATAACTCTGTGCACCATTAAGCCATATAAAAAATTTACAAGATTAAATATTGATTGACAATTGCATTAAAAGTTTATTTAATTCATCAATAATCTTAATTATTAAAAACAATACCTCCTGTTTATACAGAAAATGAAGTAAAATTACACTTTATTGTTAAGTTCTTCAAAACTAAGCTTGTCAGAATGTTTCATTTTTAGAAACATTATATTGCATTAAACTTTTGAAGGTTTACTGCAGTTCTTTTAAACTAATTTGATTCAATTTTTTGAGATTTTTTCTCAATTTATCTTAACCTCTACTTTTTAATACATTAGCAAAATCTAAATCTGATTATACATAGTTTATTTTAATTTAAACAGAGGTTAGTTGAGACAAAAAACAATATATCAAATTGTAATTTAAAAAATATCTTAAGATGAGAAATAACTGTTCGATGAACCTTTAACTGCTTAAAATAAGAAAGTTGATTTTAAATGAATCCACAACTTATTGAACTAGAAACCTAAAGTCTAAATCTACATCTTCCTGAACTCTACAATCAAATTATATATGTTTTATGAAAAGTAGATATGGAAAAATTATCTTATTTTTAATTCAATATTATATTACTAAACATAACTATCCTAAATGAATTTAGAGTTTTTTTTCTCGTTTAATCTTATCAGTTTTTATATGGAAGATTTATTTACCTATTCATGTGTCAGTTGTTGTATATATCGTCCATAATTATTCAAATGGTCATATTTTTCGATATTTCGATATCTAGGTTTTACTTACTATTAGGAGAAAAACTAAAAACAAAACCTACCCAAAAAAATTAATATAAAGTCCTATTAAATTAGTTAATAATTTACTTGTCCATTAATCCCCCTTAGTGACAACAATCAACATATATATTCTTGGCATTCTACTTATCCAAATGCCATAATGACTCCAATTTTTTAAAGTCAATTTTATGCCACTAATAGGTTTTTTTCCATATCTTATGAATCATTAAGCACTAGTTATTTACATTACTTTTAATTCCTACCATCAAAAATATGAAAGATGTCTTGTGATTGTGGAGGTTAAATCATTCAATATTTGATCATTCTCGAACTCAGTCAAATAACTTATACAATTTTCTGAAGAATATGTTTTGGATTTAAGCTTCAAGTCATTTTCTTTAAAAAAATAAATGGTTTCCAATTAACTTGATTGATCCAAAGGTATAGCATGACTTGTAAAAAATCAAAGATTTCAATCTGAATTTCAATCTGAATTTCAAAATTAAAGATTTTAATCTGAAAATTTCAATTAAAATCAAAGATTTCAATCAAAAGCTTTGACATGTTGGTCCATCTTTAAAGTCATTGATGGTCCATTTTTTATGTAGTTTTGCCGACTTTAGCATTTTTATTAATTTGATGGTCCACTTTTTTATCCATTTTTTTGTCCATTTTTATTAATTCTTATGATCTTTATTAAAGCATTTTAATCAAACTACTTTAATGTTTTTTAAACTATTTAATAGTGCAAAAATAAACACAAAAAATAGTTAAATAAAAAATAGCCTTTTTAAGAAAAGTTAATTTCATTTGAATAATTATATATTATATTGTAAACTGATATTTTATTTTTCTTTTAGTTAACTTTATTGACTAACAATTTTTACACATTTTTCAACATGATTATTTTATCTTTATTTATAAAATTTTATTTATATTTTGGTAGGCTAAATGAATAAATATTTTGTAGGCTAAATGATAATAGATAATTTTGACTAATTTAATTTTGATTAAAAAAATATTTAAAAAGAATTTTTTAAAATAGAAAAAATTTATTAAAAGTTAAAAAAAAGAAATAGACCAATTTTATTTTTTCCCCCTATTTTAAAACTTTTAAAGTCTATAAAAAGATTGTCAAATATAATCTAGATATTCTTTAATGTATTAGGTTTCTAGTGTAAGGACAGGCATATGATCATCATAATCAACCTTTTATATGTAACATGTAATCCAGTACAAATAATTCCTGCTGCCTTGCAGGATTTACTTTCTAACTGTTAAGCAAGGATATAAGAAGTGTACTTCTTGTCATAAATACTATCTAATATATCATGATTTACTATCATGTTTACAGAAGTATCTATTTGTCTTTTATATAGTTATAAGTTTTTATTTTTTTATTTATTTTTGTCTTTATTATTCACCTCCCCAAGGCCACTACAGTTGAGGAGGTTACTTGTGTGGTTAACACTCTCTCTTAAGTCTATAACTACGAAATAGGAAGCTCGACATACAAGGTTGCTGCATGGAGGAACAAGTTAAGAGCTGTACTACCAGGGAAGTGGTGGGGATCAAACTTGGAACTTCTTGCTTATGAAGAGAGCATTCTACTAAGTGTCTTAGTTACTGTGTTAGCTCACCTATGTATGTATGCTTGTTTTCAGTCTAAACCTGTGACCCATTGTTCACTTATCCATAAGTTGCTATTTCTATGTTAATGCTCTGTCTGTACCTCTTTGCAGTGTTTACTCACCAACTTATGTTCTTATATGTATATTTCATCAGAGATGTATTTAGCAATACATCTCTGATGTATTGCTACCTCAGTTAGCAACTAGTGACTTCAACTATAAAACTTACGCTTCACCTTTTCTAGTATTTCATTAGATGTAATGTTTCTTCTAATGCATTTTCAAAATATCTTGTTTAATGTCATAATATACTGGTTACTTCACTTAACTATTCTGGGTAAGGTTATGTTCAGGATTCTTATGATCATTCTACTACTTGTATCATGTAACCCAGTACTACTTGCCCAATGTCCTGCTGTCTAGTAAGGACTGCATTTTTAGGAAAAAGCTAGGAAAAATAAACTCATATATAAAATTCCTTGCCCTGGAGTTGGTTAAGAAAAGGTTAGAGATAGTGTCTCAATAAAAATATTCACCTTGAGAAAATTTCAACTGTATCCAGCTACTGTATAGGGGTAAGAAGAAATTATGTTGACCAGCTTTACATTTTTTTTTTCATTTATTAAACTGGTGTAGATGCAAGCTTATGTTATATACTTCCTGCATAGGATAATAAATGATGGATCTTCTTGACTCTACTCATGGATTTTGCTTGTGTCTCCTTGTTAGGGGCTATGCAACTCTTCCTGTTAGCTCCTAATGAAATAACAGCTCTAGCAAAGTTTCCAAACTCTCTGATAGCTTTCAGAGATGCTGATTCTGTCAACAGTTGTAAAATATCGGAGTATGAACAGTACCATGTAACGCATGGATGGTATCTGTAATGATTGTTACGCAAAACAATTCAGAATAGCAATTAGCAATTGCAAAACAAGCAATTCCCTTTTGCGAATTGCACAAATACTGATAACAAAAGTATTCCCATGAGAGAATTCTGCACAAGGAATTCTCACTTAAAAGCCAGTGCGCTGAATTTTAATACAGTTGAAGTTTCGACGTGAAACTATACAGAGTTTTATATTTAAACTAGTTATGATAATTTAATATGAAAATATTGAAATAAATATTAAATAAAAACCATAGTCGAATTCTCTTCATAGTAAATATAAAGACAAAACATTACATGGTACCAGAAGTGAATTGAAGACATTTTAAGAAGAGATTTTGGAAAAGTACTTATTTCAAAAAGAAAAAGAAAATGGAACACTTTTTGCCAAAGCCAAACGAAATGGACTTCAATGAATCTAATATAGCTGTAACATAGAAAAAATGGAAACAAACTATGCAGTTGTATTTAAAAGCAGCAATGACAAATCTGAGGAAGAAAAGTACGCGACATTTTTATTTGTGATCGGTGAAAAAGGAAGAGAAATATTCAATACATGAACAAAACAGAAAATGACGACGATGAAACCGATGACATCACGGTAAAAGAACTTTTTGAAAGATTCGAAGAATACTGTTTACCAAAAAGAAATCTGGTTTCGGAACGAAGAAAGTTTTTCTTATGAAAACAAGACGTCAATGAATCATTTGATTTCTTTGTAACTGGCTTCAAATCTGGCTCAAACATGCGAGTTTGAAAACATTCAAGATGGTCTGATATTATACAAAATAATTGACGGAATCAAATCAAACAAAGTCCAAAATAATCTACTTAGAAAAGGAGCGGATTGAACTTTAACTAAAGCGATTGACATAAGCAGAGCTGAAGAAGTTGCAAATGCAGAAATGAAATAAATTACATACAAAAAAGATATTGACGAGGTAAAGAAATTCATAAAACCAAGACAAGCAAATGCGTCAATCGGACAAATACAAAAATGGAGAAAGTTTTTGAATAACGAAAATGAGTCAAAAGGCAAAGACCGGGTTGAACCAAACAAACAAAACTCGAAACAAATCAATAATGGCTCAAATAAAAAACAACAACAAAGACAGTGCAATAAATGCAACAGAAAACATGAACCAAGAAACTGTCCTGCATTCGGTCAAACGTGCCGTAAATGTAATAAAATAAATCATTGGGCAACTTGCTGCAACTCGAAAAACATACACGAAAATTGCGCTGTTGAATACCATGTGGAATCTGTATCATCTGGTGAAATGAATAGTAAAAATGAAGCTTTAAATAATCTTTAAAATTAATAATAAATTGGTATGTGGAAAAATTGACACTGGAGCTGAAGTTGATGTTATGCCAAAAAGAGTCTACGGCCAACTAACATCACGTGATAATCTCACTTATACAAATGTTAAACTACGTGGTTATGGAGGAAATCATATTCCAGTGCTTAGAACATCAAAGATGATGTGTCACTATAAAAGTCATAAAAAGTTGGTTAAATTCTATGTAGTTGAAACAACAAGCAAACTTGTTCTTAGCTTACAAACTTCACAAGACTTAAAAGCTATCAAACTACTAGATGAAGTAAAAACTGTAGACACGAACGAAGCTAAGTCGCAGCAAAAAGAAATATCTACTCTAAATAAAGTAAAACAACTTGAAGGAAAACAAGGAAAAGAATCAAAAGAAGAAATACTAAAAATGAATCCGAAATTATTCAACAGATTAGGCGTAATTGGACCTGAATATCACATCGTGTTGAAGAATGACTCAAATCATGTTATTCATCCACCAAGAAAAATTCCTGTTACCTTGAGAGAAAAAATAAAAACAGAATTGGATGAAATGGAAAAAACAGGAGTAATAACAAGAGTAGATGAACCAACAGAATGGGTAAATTCGCTAGTGGTTGTGGAAAAACCAAATGGACAACTAAGACTCTGTCTGGATTTAAGAGACTTAAATAAAGCTATAAAAAGAGAACATTATCAATTACCTACTTTTGAAGAAATATCAACTAGACTTTATGGTGCAAATAATTTCACAAAACTAGACGCAAATAAAGGTAATTGGCAAATTCCATTGGATAAAGATAGCTCAATGTTAACCACGATGAATACATCATTTGAAAGATTTAGATTCACAGGTTTACCTTATGGTATACATTCGGCTCAGTCAAGTATTTCATAAAAGAATTAATCAATGTTTGATGATCTTCATTTTGTGGAAACTGATATTGATGATATTCTAATATGGGGCACAAAAAATGTCACGATGTAAATCTAATAAAATGCCTAGATCGAGCCTAAAAAATGGGAATGTCCTTATATATTGAAAAATGCTGATTTCGAACACAAGAGTTGATATACTTAGGACACAAATTATCAATAAACGGAGTACAACCAGATGAATCAAAAATTAAAGCCATCAATGAAATGCTAAAACCGGAAGATAAAAAAGGAGTTCAAAGATTTCTAGGTATGGTAAACTATGTTGGTAAATTCCTACCTAACTTATCAGAAACAACGGAACCATTTCAAAATCTAATTAAAAAAGGAACACACATGCAATAAGGCGAAGCACAAGATCGATCCTTCAGAAAAATTAAAAAGCTGCTATGTTCGGAACAATGTCTTGCATTCTATGATATTCAAAAACCTGTAACAATACAAGTAGTATGCATGCAAAACTGGTGTTGGAGCAGTACTTTTTCAAAATAAAAAACCAATTGCATTTGCATCAAGGTCAATGACACCAGCTCAATTAAATTATGCAATCATTGAAAAAGAACTTCTGGCAGTACTTTTTGGGTGTGAGCAATTTCACCAATATATATGGAAAAAAAGTAACTGTTAACAGTGATCATAAACCGTTGAAAAATATTATGAAGAAGTTGTTAGCAAACACTCCTCTGTGTCTTCAGATGTTAATTAAGATTGCAAAAATATGATATTGATTTAATTTATAAAGCTGGTAAAGAAATGATTCTGGCAGATACATTATCTAGAGCTCATACCAATGAAACTGAAGAAGAAATTCTGGAAGATG